TTCAAATTATTCTTCCCTTTCTTCTCTAATCCTTTTTATTAAGAATTAATGTTAAAGTAATTATAAGTATGCCCTTAAGTGGGCGGCCAGCTAGGCAGTAACATAAAGAGATCAAACAAAAAAGAAATAACAGGCCCATTAAGAGAGGCCCATTAGCTAACAGGAAAATAGAAAAAATATTACAAGAGAAGATACTAGGACCCATTCGGCCCAGTTTCTTTACACGCCCCACTCATTAACTTATGAAATAAAAGAGATTACAATAATTAAAATGCACTTAATAGGGCTGTTGATGCTAATACATAAAAACAGTCTTAAAAAATAAACATAAACTAATGAGCCTTGGGCCCAATAACACCGACTAATGATACTAAATAAAAAGAAACAAAAAGATTGCTGAATCTCAACACTCCCCCTCAAGTTGGGAGTAAATGTCACACATTCCCAACTTGTGTAAATCATGCCCAGGCTTATTTTTTGCAAATCCCTTGGTGAGTACATCAGCAAGTTGTAGGTTAGATGAAACATATGACAGACAAACTTCTCCAGATGTCACCCTTTAATTTATGAAATGCCAGTCCACTTCTATATGTTTTGTTCTATCATGCTGAACTGAGTTATGGGCAATGTTAATTGCTGTTTGATTATCACAATACAACATCATAGGTTCCTCTACATCAACTAAGCTCTCCTAGTCTCCTAATAAGGACTGAACGTAGGGAAGCTTTGAAACACCATCTGTCATAACTCTATATTCTTCTTCTGCACTTGACCTGGCTACAATTGGTTGCTTTTTACTCTTCCATGAAATCATATTACCTCCTTAAGAGGAGGGGGATGGCAAGGAAGGAGAATCTCATTTTTCTTTATTTTTAATAAAATCTTTTATATTAAGAAAAATGAAGATGCATAGATCGCATTCAATTCTTGTTCATAGATCACATTGCTAAAAGAAATCACAGCTTTGGTGGGTAAAATTTTGGGTTTCGAGGAACAAATACTTTTTCTTCCTTGCAAGGATTTTGTCTCTTCAATTTCTGATTCTAGGTGCTCAGTGATGAAATTAAGGATCACTTGGATTTGCTTCTTTTTGAAGTGTGGTTGAATCATTTGATTTTGACAATTGCAATTTTGTAATGTAAATTGGTTGGTGATTGTGTTGTCATTGCTACAGAGTCAGGACTACAGGGGACCGGATGCAAAGCTGGACAAGACCAAGGTATCGATAAAGAGGCTGCAGTCGCTAATTATTTTCTCGTCACAAGCTGTCTCCATCACCTCTTCTGAAATTACTCATCTCAGAGACAACTTCCCCACAACTTGTTCACCTCTATCATCAGTATGACTAAAACTCTTTTTGGTTTCTATTCTATTTTCCACATTTGAGGCATGTTTTTGTGGGTAGAGTACAATGTATCAAGTGAACCCTGTCATTTGCATCTTGGCACGTGTTTATCAATTTGGATTGTCCATATGATAAGCCATATGATATTTATCAAAAAAAAAATATGATAAGCCATATGAATGCCAGAGTTACCATTTAGATGATTCCAGTAAGCAAGAAGGCCTACAAACAGTATCAATGTGTCTGAATTAATTTGAATTTGAATTTGAATCCAATAACAAATGAAAAACAACATAGGGTTGTTTGATACATGCATTCATCTCCTGAAATTATAGTTTAGTCAGCCCACCCCATATTTAAGAGTAGAGAATTTAAGAGTTACTCATGTTGTGCCAACTTTTTGTATCTTGCTGCTTGATTTAAATGCCAGATTGGTAAGGCATAAGCTTGGTGAAATTTTGCAAGTAGGGGTGTCAATGGAGCGGATTTGGATTGGACCCCATCCAAACTAAATGTATTTTGGACAGATTGGATGGTCTTTTGGATTATATGGGCTCGGACCAGTTCAAACATAAATGGTCCATATAAATAGTGGACTGAAGTTGGACAAAACCAACGAGTCCAAAGGTCTAGACTCCAGTCTTTTCTGTTCAAAACTTCCAAAATTTCAAATAGTCGACTAAGGCTCCAAGGACGAACAGCCATTTAGGGTTCTCTCTCTAATGGCAATCCCCTTTCTCCAGCGGCACTCCCTTCTCTCTGGTGATCCTATCGACAATTCTATCTTGCTCTTTCCCTCTTACTGCAGTAACGGGAGGCTCCATTATTCACTCACTCAAGTGTTCTCCAGCGATCCTCTATCTGACGATTCAAGTGTTATTCGCTCAAGATTTGAATGCATTTCTGTGTAATATCTTTCTACATTCTCTATTTTCAATCTTAGCTTCTCTTTTCTTTTCATTATTTAACTCTTAGCTGGATTTTTATTTAAACCTCACAATTATTTTCCAAGCAGGTCTCGGTGAAGGAGAAGAGCAACTTATGTGAACTCATTGAAACCAAATCACCTAGGAAAGCACTCACTGAGTGATTTGGTTGATAGCATGTTGGGCTTTGTCATGGCATCGAAACCAATCACAGTTTTGAAAAGAAGCTTGGTCATGGCGCTCGCTTCCCGATCCAGTCCAATGTGAGTCCACTTACAAATGGATTGGACCTAATTCAGTCCAAATCCAATACAAACTAAATCCAATCCAATCCATTAAAATGTAAATGGACTGGATTGGATCTAATTCGAACCGAATGAAATATCAAAAAATATATGAAAAACAGAACATATAAAAATTACAAAAATATATTAAAATGAAGAAAATCTGAAAATTACAAAAATATACCCTTTTGGCATTGAAAAAGCACTTTTTGTAAAAGTGTTTTGATAAAAGTACTTTTATAAAAGTGCTTTTATAAAAATGTTTTCATAAACATTCTTTCATAAAAGTGCTTTTATAAAAGTACTTCTGTAAAAGTGCTTTCGTAAAAGTACTGTAAACGTTCTTTCGTAAAAGTGATTTCATAAAAGTGCTAGTGTAAAAGTACTTTTATAAAAGTACTTTCGTAAAAGTGCTTTTATAAAACTGTTTCTGTAAAAGTGCTTTCATAAGAGTACTTTTGTAAAAGTGCTTTCATAAAATTACTTTTATGAAAACAAGTGTTTTCGTAAAAACACTTTCATAAAAGTAATTTTATGCTGGTTTCAATTTTGCTCGATTTCAAAGTGGACAAGGGTTTGATCTCTTGACCGGATTATTGGAAATTTGGTTTAGATCCAATTCAGACCTATAAGAATATGGACCGATTTATTTTGGATTGATCTAATCCAATAATTATAATGGACCATCGAAATCCAATTTAATAAGGATTGGGTCGGATTGAATCGAGTCCAAAACAAGTCGATTGACACCCCTACCCACAAGAACCCTACTCACGCCTTACTACAGCTGTATATTGAGAACATCTCCCATATTTACATGTTACCATTCATGGAGAGATGTTCTCAATGTATAGCTGTGGGTAAGAGATCTGAATTCGCTGCTAAGGGGGGCAATAATAATTGGAGCCAATGTTCAAAATTTCAATACGTATTAGACCATATCAATTGATATGTATTGTATTGGGAACTTCCCGATATGCCAGTAGGGGCATATCGGACTGTATCGAAATTTTAAACCTTAATTGAAACTTCGTTGAATGCCTCATTCAATTGGGCTCCTAGTCTTCAAATGTGTTGGCAGACTCCTTAGCAAGAGCAGGGTGGGGAAAGAGTCTTTAGTTTGGAGCTGCCCCGATCTGAGCTGTAATTTGTAAATTCTGTGTAGGGGTGTTGTTTTTTAGTGGTGACTATACTCCTTCGTATTATGTTTTTGGGCTCTGCTGTTCTGTTTTGAGTAGTTGGAGCTTCTTTTAATATTTTCAGTTATTTGTCAAAAAAAATTGTATGAAATAAGCATCTTGCATAATAAATCACTCCTGTATAAATTATCAATTTCGAACAATTTCCCCACAGAAAGGTCCCCACACCCACCTCAGAGCATTTGCGGCCATGCGTCAAGAACATCTCCCCATAAATGAAACCATACAAGTACAAGAGATGTTCCTTATGTACAGCTGCAACTTACTGTGAGGTGGGTGTAAGAATCATGGTTTTTAAAACTGACCTGGAGGCTGAACCCGTCAGGGATCCGGTTATCGGGTCAAATGGTCCAACCATTCGAACTTAATGCTTGGCCCGTTCTGACAAAAAAATTTAAAAGATCAAAACCGTTCAAACAGTTAACTAACTGGTTCAGCGGTTCGCTGACCAAAATCAACGGTTTTGGGGGAAAACCGAACCGATCACCTGACCGGTTCCCAGTTTTTCCAGTCCGATCCAGTTTTGAAAACCATGGTAAGAACCATTCTGTGAAGAAATCTGAACTCTTTCTACTAATTTGTGATATGTTTAACATTCATATTTATAATTTTAGATGAAGCATCATCCAGATTAATTTCTAACAGTTGTTCAAATTACCAACATAAACATAAATTGTGATGGGTTCACATGCATTTTGCATATAAATGCATATTACAATTGTTCATTCAAGTTATGTTTATCACAATGTATAATTTCATACAGACTGTTTAAAAATATTCTTTTGTGTTTATTCATGGCCAATAGAGCGGCAAAATTAGTGTTATTGATGTGTTTGTAAGATTTGTACCAAAAATCTGATGTGTCTGCAAGATTTATGTCGGATTCCCTAACACATCGACTGTATCCACCGAAAAAAAAATTGTTAAAATTGTCTTTTCAAGACTGATACTGAAACTTTGAACCTTGGTCTTCTTGAGTAAGAGTTTTTAACCCTGTTAGAACATGTGACCTAATTGTTACATTTTCAATAGACCAAAATGGGTTGCACTGACATTTTTCTACATAAATATTATCGAGGGGCCTACAAAATTGAACTGTCCACTCAGGCAGATTTCAATTTGTCTGACTTGGAGGCAATGTGAGAGAGCGTTCTGTGGCCCACAAATAGCAGGAAGCCCCCCAAAAATCCAAATACCTTCAAAGTTGTGAACAGATCCAACTGTACATAGGAAGAAATAAGATAAAATAAATATAGCAGCAGATACAAGAAAGGAATATAAGATTAGGTAGTGAAAATGAAGTTTATCTACTAGGATTAGGGCTTGAATGAGAGAACCTTCAACCAGAAAAGCACATAAAGGAGCAAAACTGCTGCAATGCCAACATGGAAAAGGGTGGCGAATGTAGCTGATACTGCTGAGCTAGGAAAATTCTTTAGGTTCGCTCCAAGGTGTAAGAGCTGTCAAACACAACAAAAGATATCAACCAATGAACCAAACATAGGAAGAATAGGTAGTATGATGTATGGTATTTTATCTACACAATTAAGCAATTAATTGGTGATAAATTAGTAACAGGTTAGTTATATTAGCTTCTCATGAATTAAAACTCATAAACAACCTCCTCCAAGGTCAGCATTTGAACTTGACAAACCAATTCCACTTGTGGAATAATGCCCCACTTCTGATCCAATGGAAAACACACCCACACATACAAAATCAAAATGCTCAACAGATTCTCATGCAACTCAGATTCAGGTGATGAAATATAGAATGAAAACTAATGTTTGAGATCTCAATGTTCTGCATGAATTTAAAGGTACTACTCATGTGCCCAAAAGTGCCTTGGTGGGATAAATGCACCCTCCAAATCTATACTACTTTAAAAAATACAAATAGCCTCAAGAATATTTATGGATTTTACTGAGGACAAAACTTACCCCCTCTATATTTAAATTTATTGATAAAATATGAGGGAAAATAGGGTAGTTGGTTATTGATAGTAAATGAGTTGAAAAGAGGTTATTTTAAGATTTTCAATGCATTCAATTCTCTCTCATTAAATCCAACATTTAAGGTATTAATTTGCATTTACCTTCATTGAATCATATATTTAAGGCTTTTTTGGTCTTTTTCTCATCATTAAATTTTATAATTAAATCCATACATAATAAATTAATAATTTCAATAACATAAAAACTTATACTTTTAATATCTACCTGGAAAAAAATAGTGTTTTAATCTAGATGGTGGTAAAACTTATACTTTCCATTTGGATCAAATGGGCCAATCCACCTTGTCACAATTAAATAATAAAATTCAAAAATATATAAAATGCAAAAAATATAGAAATTAAAAAAATGAGAACATTTTTAACATCATATATTTGACATATTAAACAATAATAAGTGATAAACAATGTTTTAAAGAATAACCCAAAGGTCGACCCGCTTTTGCCTTCGGATCATAGGTCATCGATTCGGCTATCAAGGTCAAACGAATCAAACCACTTTACGTCAACACTATGTGTGTGTGTGTGTGTTTGTGTGTAAAAATACATATTTTATCAAAAAATATTATAATTATGTTTTAGATATATTACATATAATATATGTATTATGTAACATTTATTTACGTTTTTAAATTCAGATTTTAAAAAAGTACAAATAGCCACATAAATATTTATGGAATTTTCTTAGGACAAAACTTACCCCTCTATATTTAAATTTATTCACAAAAAATGAGGGCAAATAGGGTAGTTGGTTATTGATATTAAATGAGTTGAAAAGAGGTTATTTTAAGATTTTCAACGCATTCAATTCTCATTAAATCCAACATTTAAGGTATTAATTTGCATTCACCTTCATTGAATCATATATTTAGCTTTTTAATCTACCTAGAAAAAAATAATGTTTTCATCTAGGTGGTAAAACTTATATTTTAAACCATTTGGGTCAAATTGGCCAATCCATGTTGCCACAATTAAATAATAAAATTCAAAAATATATAAAATGCAAAAAATATAGAAATTAAAAAAAATGAGAATGTTTTTAACATCATATATTTGACATACTAAACAATAATAAGTATGATAAATAGTGTTTTAAAAACCAACCCAGAGGTCAACCCACTTTGGCCTTTGGATCATAGGTCACCGGCTCGGCTATCAAGGTCAAACGAGTCAAACCGCTCTACGTCAACACTATATGTGTGTGTGTGTAAAAATACATATTTTATCAATAAATAGTATAATTATGTTTTATATATATTACATATAATATATGTATTATGCAACATTTATTTGTTTTTCAATTCAGATTTTAATTTTTTATTTACAAAAAATATTAAAATTGCAATTTAGGGCCAAAAAAGGGGTTTTTCGCAAAAATAGCAAGGCAAGGCGTCTAAGGCCCTTGGGACGTAAGATCTTGAAAAGTTACTCAAAATGAAAAAAAAAAACCAATAAGATATTGGAGTGCGAAGTTATGGCTTCCAAAAGTTTGCACATAATTAAGTGCACAACCTGCAACCTGGTTACCGAGTAGAACAAGGCAATGGTTGAACCGCCCGAGTTAAACAATTTTTAACTGAAAGGGGGAGTTTCAACTTAACCAAACCTAGGATCAAGACTGAGTGACGGTTCGAACGGTTCAATCGACCAATCCAACAACAGGTTGAAAACATTGATGATAAATAAGAAATGTTTTTTTATTAATGATGGAAATAGAATGTAAAATTTAAAACCAATTGAAAGTAAAACTATTTTCCTATTACGTCTCATTAAATCGCATATCTAAGGCATATTCTCTTACTAAATCCTATATTTAAGATATATTTTTCTCATTATTAAATTCTACTAATTAAATCCACAACATTAATTTTAATAATATAAAATAAATATTTTGAAAACAAAAACATTTTCTTCCCTCTCGATGGGTAAGCAATTCAACCATTTGAGGTCAAATGCATTAATAAATAATGTTATAATTAAATAATAAAAATAAAATATATAATACAAAAAAAAGAATTGGTCATGCTACTAATATTGTATATTCATTACAAATGATGAAAATGGAATGCCAAAATTAAAACCAACCTAGAAATGAAATGATGTCATAGTCAAATAATAAAATTTTAAAAAAAGAAAATATAAAGAATCACAAAAATAAATTTTGTACATAAGTTATAATGTTATATATTTATAAAAAATAAAATATTGGGTACATCTATAATATTATACATTTATTATATTGAACAAAAATAAATATTATAATGGAAATGTAATACAAAAGTTAATGTCAACCTAGAAATCAAACTTTTTTTTGGGTCGTTGGTTAGTGGTTTAGGTCAAATAGATTAATTGATGATATGATAGTTAAATAATAAATATTTAAAAAGTAATAAAAAAGTACAAGTAATCAAAAGAATGGGTTCAACTATGATATGGGAAAAATATGACATCCCAAAAACTTCAGACCAATCAACTAGAATTCTAAACGTGGTAACCAATCAAGTGTTATTTATGAAAATTCATGGATGGGTTTTGATTGATCGAAACTCTTCCAATACCATATCTTTCCCGCATCATAGAATTTCCCCAAAAGAATATATAAAAATTATATATTAATTATGTCAAACAAGAATTAAGTGTTATAAATAAAAATTATTTATATAATGTAGATGAAATATATAATTTAAAACTAATCCGAAAGAAAAGCTATTTTCTTATCTAAATGATGGGTCAATGATCCAATTTTTCAAAGAAATTCATGATTTCATAATTGAATAATAAATATTTAAAAAAAGATTGAATACAAAAATAAAAATGTACATAGTTTTGTCAGACATTTCAGAGCATTTCTAATGTTATATAATCATCATATTAAATAAAAATTATTTTTATTTAAGATAGAAATGGAACACAAAATTTATTATTACTAATTAATAATAATAATAATAATATTATTATTATTATTATTATTATTTAAAATTTCTGCACATGCACATTTAGTACAAGTATTTAAGTTTGTTTTTAGTCATATTATTACTTTTATTAATTTTCAATTTATATCTTAAACATGATATATCTAATTCAATTAATTAATATGAAAAATATCATACATGCAACACACGTGCTTAATTACTAGTAACAAAATATGTACGTACCCCTGCTAAGAATCCAACAAGTGGTAGAAGGGTCAAACCCAAGAAAGCAAGAGAGAGTTCCTTTGGTGGACGCTTCTCAGGTGCCCTGAAGATGTGGGTTATCTCCTGTTTGGGCCCATATCTCATGTACGGATCAGCAGGTTGTGGAGGAGGGCGTGTTGCCTTTTCAGGTGCCTCAGGTAGATCTAACTCAACATGGCCCAAAGCCCCTAAGAATGAGTTCTCCTGCAATAATCAAGACAAATAAATATATTATTGCTACCAATCAATATATATACGTGGCTAAAACATAACAAAGATAGAGAATGCCCAGTACCATGACAATATCACCAATTGTAATTTGAATGTCATATCTTCCTGAAAGACAGTAGAACTTCTCAACCAGACCGAGAAAGTCCTACAATGTAAAGTAAAATATTAAAAAATCTGAAATTTTATAGCCACATGAATAACTCACTCTGAATTTTACACACACAACCATGAGCTATCAGGGATGTTTAAACCCAACATAAGAAAAAAAAAAAAAAAAAAAAAACAAAAACCAAGTTCGCATCATGAGATTCAAATGAAATTTATCAAAGCAATGCAGAACTGTTTTATGCTGGTAGTTAGAAGGCAATTAAATTTTCTTTAGCTTTTATGATTAATCTTCAGTACTGCTAGCTTCTCAAAGCAACCACCAGATGCATATGATTATGCATTAATGGGAATTCAATGACTAATGCCCATTCTACTATTTTTTCTCTATTTTGACAAATGACAATTTTTATTCTTTCACTGTTTTGTTTACTGGTATGGAGAAAATCTCAGAATCTGTAAGGACACAGTTTCAGATTGATCAAACAAGGACACAGTTTTAGGGAGCTCATTGATCTTATGGTCATTTCATTTCAAGGTTTCATCAAATAGTGACAGATCTTGGATCAGATACTGATGGCCAATGGATATGTTGAGAATTTATTTAAAAGGAAGACCTGTTGTGGTTTGATTTGCTTTCTTGACTTGGAGAAAGCTTATGAAACATGCCTTTTGCAATGGTTTTGGGCATGCACATCATATATCTCATTTCTCTATCCTAGTCAATGGGTCTTTCATGGTTCCTTTCTAGGAAGGAGGAAACTTAGGCAGGGTGATCATCCACATCCTTTCTCTTCCCCGCCTCGCAAAATATGATTAGATCATCTGTGAATTGGAGGTTAGTGATGAAAACTTGATCTCTCACAACTCTACAACCATGAATCTATCTCAACCTGTCAGCCTTGGTGATCATACAGATAAGGACGTCTGCCATAAGAGTAAAGAGAAAGGGAGATAGTGGGTCCCCTAGCTCTTCCTCCTCATCATAGTTTTCAAGGCGCCAAGGCGAGGCTAGGCGACAGGGGGGAACCTAGTCGCCTAGGCGATGGATTTTTTTAAGTAAAACCCTAGATCCTAGGGTAGTTCCCTAGGTTCCATAACCATCTTTCCTTAATAATTATTCATAATTTTCATAAGAAAAGTACAAATTTCATGTTTAAGTCTAGAAAATCAACATTTTATGAGAAGAAAAAGAACAAAGTAAAGAATATTCAAAAAATATAGGGGCTGAACCCCTACTTTTGTTATAGGAAAGAAGAAAAGAAAAGGTGGAAGAAGAAGAATGAGAAGACGTGGAAGAAGAAAATGTGTTGATTAGACAAAATTTTAAGTTCTTCCCTTGCTTATAGGTTCAGGTTTTGAAATGTTTGAGGGATCAATCAATGATCAAAACTTTGATACGATATGCCCCGTATCGGGTGTATTATATTGTATCTTTGGGGTCCTGATACCTGTTTACAGGTGTTTTCGGGGACCCATTTTTTTAAATAATATATATTTAAAAATGAAATTGAAAACCAAAGAAATAAAAAAAAAATAGGGAGAGGTGAACCATGGGTTCAATACAACAGTAAGCAATGTTTGCATTGATTAAACCCTAACAAAATAAGAAAATAATAAAAAGAAATTAGTATAAAAACACATAAAATGAATATTCCAGTTTAACAATGTCTATTTTATAATTATAATGTCAAAAAATTAAAAATCTAAAAGTATTTTATAACCCGGTGCACAAAACTGCTAGGCAACTGGGCGAGGCGAGCCTCCAAGGGCGCCTTGTCGCCTAGGCGTCGCCTTTGACAACTATGCTCCTCATCATCTAAGCCTTGTCCCATCTATATGGAGTCAGCTACATGATTCCTATTTCACAATTCCATTCTGTTCAGTGTCATATTTATTGTTAAATTATGGGTGCTTCAATCATTTCTTATTACTTCCACCAAGTCCTTTTTGGTCTGCCCCTGGCACTTCTAGCCCCTTCAACTTGTAAGAGAACCTTTTCTAGTAGGTGCTGTAAATGGCTTTTATGCAAGCGACTAAACAATCTCAATCTACTTCCTCTCATTTTATCATCTATTGGAGCTACTCCTAGGTTCCTTTGTAAGACTTCATTTCTAACCCTGTCCATCCTAGTTTTACCACTCATCCATCTAAGCATTTGCATTTCTGCTGCTCATTTTTTTGGACATGCTATTTCTTAACTGCCCAACACTCTTCTCCATACAACATAGCTAGCCTTACAACTATTTTATAGAAAATTTCTTTTAGCCTAAGTGGTATTTGCATATCACATAGGACTCCACATACACCTCTCCGTTTTGCCCATCCTGCTCTAATTCTATGGGTGACATCCTCCTCAATCTCTCCTTCGTTATGATTATTGAAACAAGGTTGCAGAAGAGGTCACATGGAGTTATCTCTTGGTCTCCAATCCAAAGTGTATCCTGGTTTGCACTCCTATTACTGTTAAATTTACATTACTTTTAGTCCTACTTTTTTTTTATGAGTATTTTAGTCCTACTTATTTTAAAATCCTCTTGTTTCTTATAAAGTTGTCCATAAATCCAATTTTATATTTAACCCCCTTGCTAGTTTCATCAATTAATACTATGTCATCAGCAAACATCAAGCACCATGGGAACTCCTCTTGGATATGTTTAGCCATTTCATCTATGATTAGCACTTAGTGGGTCCCCTTGCTCTAAGGCTCTTTTTGGCTTGTTTTTGTTGGATTTGACAGTGTTTAAAATTAATATAGAGCAAGCAAAGCCAAGGGTGCATCAATCTTCTTAAATGTGTTATAGACATAATGGGACCATGTAAGACACCAAAAGAACACTGACATGGAGCTAAGAAGTCCACAATGTGTAAAAGAGGGTGGTACATCTTTAGGCATTTCATTTAGTTTTAAGTTTGAAGTTTTAAGTCCACAATGCCTAAAGATGTACCACCCTCTTTTACACATTGTGGACTTGTTAGCTCCATGTCAGTGTTCTTCTTTTGGTGTGTCTTACATGGTCCCATTATGCACATAAATAAAAGTTTAAAGTTTAGCATCAGAATCAGTGGAATGTCAAAAACTAAGAAAACCAATCTCTGACTTGAAATTTTTAAGAGTCGAGGCAACAGCTGCCAGTCAATGAACATTTTATAAATTTTATATGTCTGTACAGGACCATTTATACTTTTAACTTTAATACAATATACTTTACCAGCTTACCTTTTTCAAAACGTAAAAAAAAAGCCTCTAAGCAGATATTACTACCTTGATGTTTAATTTCAAATAGAAATGTTACCATGAATATACATGCTTTCCTTTCAAACAAATGGAAAAAGTTGTAGTCCATAACTAGTCATAAAGAATTTAAGACTAATTAAGTAACTTAACTAGAGTTATCTGAAATTGTTTTCCAGTGTTTCCCACCACAAAGATGTGCTCAATTTTGGTCTCATGTATCAACTTGAGGAAGACCTGCAAGAAAATAAAGTTCTAAATCAAAAACAGTATGGGTGGGAAAATCTTAAGGGTGCAGTTAGAAAATTGAGCATATACCTGGTTTGGATTAAAGACATTGCCAAGAGGACTGGCCATTTGAAAGGATAGTTGCAACTTCTGGAGATGGTTTGCTGACAGTGAGACTGCAGTTTTTCCAGATAAATCTAGCCTGAATAAAAGAAAAAAAGTATATAGGTGTCTGGCTTATTTCATGTATGTTAGTGTAAAGCATGTTTCAAGAGTCAAGACCATTTCAGTCATCATATAAGATGGAGATGCTGGCATGTTCATCTTGCCAAAGACAAACATTCTAAAATAGCATGCAATTTTTTTATCAGCAACACAGAATATTATTAAAACTAAAAGAAAAAGAGGTTACAACAAGAGATTGTTAGAAAGAAAACCCTTTACAACAATAAGATCCCACCACCCTGTTAACATTGAGCCCAAAACAAATGATATCTATGAACTCCTTGCTTAGCTAATCCATCTGCTAACCCATTATCGGACCTTCTAATCCATCTTACATGAATTTGCACTTGTCTTGATAACAACTTGAACCACTTGAACTCACTTCTGAATTGCCATAATACCCCTTCTCCTTTTTTCAACCAACCAATGACTATTTTTGAATCCCCTTCCACAATCACCCTTGTGATTCCCATTTCCTTAGCTTTTTGCACCCCAACAATAACAGCTATGAATTCTGCTCTTACAATCACCTTGTTCAATAAGCCCTTAAAACTCCCGGAGGGTCCCAGATTACCCAAACTGTTACCATCAAAATTAAGTTTCACCCCCCCCCCCCCCAATTGGGGGAGACCAAGCCTCAAGGAATAGGATAGCACCAGAAGTGTCCTTACACAACAAATCAAAGCATAATACTCCTGGTGAACCACAAACAGATCCAATAGAATTAATGCAGGACAGGAAAGATAAAAAGGATCTGGATTATGAAAGGAAGAGATTCAGATCTGAATAGAAAAGAAAGAAAAGAAAGATTTTTTTTTGATAAGTAAGAAAAAAAAGAAAGATTGCACTTTTAAGAGAAAAAAGAGAGGAGGAAACACTCTTGCCTGCAGGTAGCTTCAAAAGAAGTTTATCGTTCCATTAGTTCCATTCTAAAATTCAATGGACTTTATTTATAGATTAAACATGTTAAGTCTCGGATCTCCATCTAGTAACTATGGTTTCAATTCAACTAGCAAACTGATCCTAAACAAACTCTATCTGCCTCAAAACTAAGGCAACCCAATAGGGAGTATTTTCAAATAAGGAGTATTTTCATGAAAATAGTTCATGGAGTAGAGGCCAAAGATTTTCACGAGGTAGAAAAAAGTTTTTCATGGAGTATTTTCACGAAGTAGAAAAAAGTTCATGGAGTATTTTCACAAGGTAGGACCTTGTTATCAGTAAGGCTAGCAATGGATAGAGGCTTAGTGGAAGGAGGCTTTGTGGAGAAAGCAAAATGGAGGTCAGCTTTGAGGGTAGAGGCCAAAGATTTTCTCTTTGAAGAAATA